CTCAGGTTGGTAATAAATGTATTACATGTATAAGAACAAGCGTCATGTTAACAAATAATACCCGTACAGTAACGTTTATGCGTGTTGTAGCTGTTAGCTAAAAACGCTAATTTAGCGTAGATTGCCCTGGGTTCAGCGTTGACAAACAAATATGAAAGACTCCTTTCAATAGAATCCCAAAGTTGTCATCTTGTAGCCCTCCGGAGTCCTCCACACTTGCAGAGGCCCCTACAGTAGGAAAACGTGCAAAAGAATGTCAAAACCATTGCTATTTGGGTTTTCTTATGTCTCACACAGCATCCCAAGTCTTTAGCTTACTTAAAACCCTTAGCTACAGTGTATATTTAGTCTAACACTCATCAGTGTCTGGATCATTACTGATCACTTCGGTGTGATATGATATATAACTTTTCTGTTACATAGTGTATGATTAAATACACAGTACTCTTAACATACTCCTCAATTCTTGTGTTTGACAGGCAGACAGTTCAGAAATTGTCAGGTGAGCAAGACACCTGCTAAATTTACTAACTTCTACCACTGTTCGGCCCAGTGTTCAGACTCACCAAGAGCCTCCCAGGTTTTGTGAAGCTAGACACAAACAACACATGCACAGATTACCAAATGACTTTTGAATCATTTGACATGTGTTTTACTGTTGTACTATATTAATTAGTTAGCATAAAATGATGTGATGCATCTTCTGAATATTGTGTCAATCTAGCAGAGTCAGGAGAGAGGGAGAGATGGCCGACCATATATCCACACAGAAATCCTTGTTGTATTTGTTCCTTGGTCAGACTTGTTGTTCCTTATACTTACTCATTTAAGTTCTCAATACCCATAACTTGTTCAGATGTACAATTGTACTATTTTATATCGACTTACAACATGTCTTCACAGGTCTTTTCCTGCTCTTTATGGAAACAAAGCAAAGCACTGGTGCTTTCGAGGGCCTGCCAACCAATTCACACCAGTTAAAGAGATACAACTTAATTTTTATCTCTTACCCAAGCTTGTTCAGTCTACTCCAAAAGGCAGTGAAGAATTTGTCCATCTGCAAGCTGGTTTGGGACGTAGGTCTACACTGATACCTGACAGCTACAGTCATGATGAGGTAAGGTACTGCTCCACATTGACAGGAAAATATATTTGTTGTAAGTTAACGATCAAAAAGTGTTTATCTTTATTCAGAGTCAATTAATTTGGTGGCCAATGGTTTATTTCAAAGGTATGTGCAAGACTCAAAGATCTGTATCCAAAACTGGAAAGTGTTTCTGGGGGCTGGCTGATTTACAAAGGAGCAGGTAGAAAAAACCTCTTAATGGCCATTCCAACTTTTGAATTGATAGTTATAGAAGAATTTTGATGATATCATGACAATGAATGCACTGCAATGTGTACTGCCACATTTTGAATAGTACTGAGTCACTCACTTTTCTCGACAGGTGGATGGGGTTCTCGGAAACTAAATATGGTGCCTCCTGAGGACAGTGGATATACTGGGTCACTGCTAAAAAATGCAAGTGCTGGGGGAAAGACCATCCTTTACATTGCTCCAATCCAGGAAGAGCTAGACACTCAGCCGCTGCCTCCTGACTCTAGCTCCTTCTCCAATATGCCAAAAGCGATGTGCCACTCATGTCAAACCAGCTACCCACTTCAACTCTTAGCACTGCATGTTGAAACATGTCAGCCTTCAGATACTAATGCACAGGAGGTGTGTACAGTCCCGTTGCATGGATGAGTCTGGGAGATCACATTACACGTAGCTTTGTCCTATAAAACTACGTAATGACTGAAACGTGTTTTGAAAATGTTTTTATCAGTCAGGAGCTTCATGTTCAATGTTGTGGATGTCAACCTTTATCTAATTTACTGTGCATGACAAAGACGGGACATAAATATGATGCCTTACATTGAATGGGGAGAAAATTGAGTTTGATTAAAGTGTCCTACAATAGCCAAGTTGAAGAGGTTCATTATTAGAGGTTGGATTTATTCCTTATATTTAAAGTGGGTAGCCCATATAAGCTGTATTTGTAATGAAAGTTGACAGATAAGCAACAATCAGATGTATGCAATCACATCACAATTCCATTCTTTTAAAGTTGCTGGTTTTTTCCCCTTTCTTTGCTTGTCTTGACAGGATGTGGAGGAAGAT